AGATTTTTGAAATATGCTTTCTATATCCTTTTAAATCCTGTAAAATCTGTGGTAATGTCTCCTAGATCTTGATATTGTAATTTAAAAAATGTGTAATTGATATTGTGTAACGGGAAGAAAAGGTCTAAAGGTGCAGGGGAAGTGGGAGGGGTAGGGGAAAGGATAAACGGGAAAAAAAAATGAGAAGAGGAAAAAAAATGGAAACAAGGTCTTTGCAAATAGGGAAGGGTGGAGGGGGTGAAGGGAGGATAAGAGAAGGGGGGAAAAAAAGATCCAAAATACTCATGTAATGGTAAAAGATCCCAATGATGAATGTGACTGTATTTTATACCGAAAATGTACCAATAAACTTAATGGAAAAAAAAAAGAAAAGAAAGGACAAGAAAAAAAAAGAATGGAAGGAAAAAATGGAGACAGCTTTTGTAAATGAAGGGAAGAGATGTTGAAAAGGAAGGAGGGAATGGGGAAAAAAGAAGCAAGATATATCATGTACAGGAACAAATTCCCTATGATGAATGTGATCATTATGTATAACTAAAGTGTACCAATAAATGTTTTGCTTCAAAAGAAGGTTAACCCAAACATTTATGATTATGATTTCATAATATCGTTTCTCCTTATTAATAACATCTGAAATTCCAGTTTACATACTAAATAACATTTGTTTCTTCACTTCTATCTTTGATGATATCCCTTTAGAAAATATGGCTTTTGACTCATTGTCAGCTGCATTCCATTGTGTTTCTTAATAGGAAGATAGTTTTGATGACCAGTTTTTTCAGATACAGATGAGCTTTGCTTTGGGAGATATTTATACTTTCTAAATGAAACTTTTTATTTATTTATTTTTTTTAACTTTTTATTTTCTTAAAAACCAGGTTTGTAGTGCCTGGATTGCAAGTGGAGTTGTAAGTGACATTAATGATCTACGAAGAGTTCATCAGTTGCTTCTTTCATCATTAACAAAAATACAGGCTGGAAAAGAAGTTCCAAGTCATTTATACAGTGAAAGCGCTTCTACCATGGAGATTTTAGCTGTTTTAAAAGCCTGGGCAGAGGTTGGTACTTTTTAATTAATAATTGGGATTTGGGAAGTTGTTAACAAACACTTTCAGCCAAAAACTGAAATGCTGTTTAAAATTAGTCATTTTGTTTGTTTATTTATTTGTTCATTCGTGTTTAGACACAGGGTCTCACTGTGTAGTTCAGGCTGGGCTTGAATTCACTATGTAGTCCAAACTGGCCTTGAACACACATCAATCCTCCTGCCTCAGCCTCCCAGTGCTGAGATTATAAATGTGTGCCACTCCTGGCTAGTAAATTCATTTTTAAGGTAAACAAAAAGATTTCCCACATGAGATTTACTTACATGTTAATTGACCTGTTAAGCAAAGCATTCTAAAGAATCCATATTGTCTGTCTACTGCTTTAAGCAGAGGCAGTTCTCAACCAGTGAAATTTTATTAAAATCAGTTCATGGACAGCTGTAGAATTTAGTCCAATACTTTTTCTCCAACTAGTGACAGGATCATATGGCTTTTTCCTTTCCTCTGTTAAAATGATGACTTTTGGGG